CCCTGAGGTTCCAAGTACCCAATAATCATATACTTACCCAAAACCTTCACTATAATTGCTATTACCCAAATCCCAAGTACCTAGATAGTGGGTACTTGGACCCTTAGGGATTTAGGATTTAGAGATTATAGGGTCTAGAGTTTCAGGGTTGAGGGTTCAGGCTTTAGGTCAGGGCAGAGCCTGCATGACCCTAAGTAAGTACCCTGCTTACACCCCAAACCCTACAGCCCAAAACCGAAACCCCAAACCCTAAACCCCATAAACCATAACTTGAGCAGAAGCCTGCTTTAAGCATGATGCAAAATTCTCAAAAGGTAATAGCTGAGTCGCGATCGTGATATTCAAATCTCCTGCCGTAAGAACCCGAATCATGATCAGACTATTTTCATGGTCTAGGATTTCGGGCTTAGGGTTTAGGGTGGGCTAGGAAACGAGGCGAATATGAGAAAGAGAGAAGCCCAAACAAGGATCCAATGTCGTAATATCTTTGAACACCGAGAAAGACCACGGCATGTACAAAATCTGGAAGCAGCAGATTAGTCTTTGTTCGTTTCCCGAGAAAATGATCGTTCTTGCTGGTATCCCTAGACCCTAACAAACCTAGACAGCAAAGATCCTTAACCCTAAACCCCATACAGCAAAGGCCCATTGGATTCCTCGACCCTAAGCCCCGACCCCGTCACCACTTTAAACCTAAACCCCGGCCTGAACCTCAAGTATGGGTTGGGCACTGCCCGCCCACCCATAGTGTCTAGAAGGGATAATGGTGATTATATTAGGGTCCTCTTACTGTCCGATTTCATCGCTATTACTGGGTGGGGAGGGGGGGCTAAACAATGGCCCAAACTTTCATACAGAGACCCCAAACCGCCATTGTTCTGCACACTCTTGGGGCTGAGACCCGAATTCGTAGCCAAGGCAAAAAAACGTTGACAGCATTTTGTTCTCAGGCCGTTGCGCCAGGGCCTGCCGGATTTCCTGGGCTCCCACTGTTTAGGGTTTAGGGTAAAGGATTCAGGGGAGCGATCAGAGGGTGTATCATGGGTGCTCATCCCCGCTGTACTACCCCCCTCAGGTTCCTCCTTAGCTAGCCTTAATTAACCTCTAAGCAGGCCTACTTAATCCCTGCCCCTTAATATCTAATGATCAATTCACGGGCCTAAAAACCCTGAAGAGCAAATTTAAAAGGGAAGACTATTTCCAAAAGGGGTCACCTAGTGAGGTCACTAGGTGGTTTATAACAAGGACTTAAACTAGATTGGGAGTCCCCTTGATTTCCTGGGTTTGATCATTTTTTGATAGAGGGTATATACTTGCTACTTAAACGCAATTTGTTTTTGTTTTGATCCTATGTTCATTGAATTTGAGTATTTCAAGTGACTACAACATTGAAAAGGTGTTTAGAGACAGCTCTATGTAATTCTTTCCGTAAATACCGCCTAACACTAATTGATTTTTCGGTGCCCTAAACCCTAAACCCTACATGAAGAGGGAAACTTGAGGGGTTGTCCAGGTCGGGGTGGTTTGGTAGACCTTAGGTGCAGGGGCGGTGTAAGGTTCAGGCATCCCTCAACCGGGTTTTGGGTGTAGGGTTTAGGGTTATGGTGTAGGGGGATTGCAAAGGTTTAGTTTAGGGTGAAGGTTGAGGGCTCATGTTGTATTTTCATCCAGGGGCCCAAAGTTAGGAGTCTAAAGTCTACGGGTTTAGGGTTGTTCCCTGAAGTTTGTGGCTTTTTAGGTGCCAGCCCGAATATTGAAAATGATGCACAGCTCAGTTTCAAAAACATTGGGGTCCCCCTCCATGCCCCACAAATCCCCTAAATATACCATGATCTTTACCCTGAAGCCAACAAGCCCTTATCATCAGGAGCCTCAAAACAGAACGCCGGGATCGCGTGGCCTTGTTGTTTTGCATAAGCTGAAGTTCGTGGCCTCCCTAAACCCTAAACCCTAAACCACCTTTGGGGTTTAGGTGTTACGGCCATTCCCTGTAATATAAAATGATAATGGTACTACTTGGGGTGGGGTGGGCGGTTCTTGTTAGGGGGGTTGATTATTTGGATTGGCTTCTGTGGGGAAGGGACACAAGGCTCTCATGAAGGAACATATGAGCCATAATCTAAATTCCTACTATTCCCCCGAATATCCCCTACAGTAGTCCCCTATATAATCCCTCATATAATTGCCCCTTGATGGAGTTTAGACTATAGCTCATATCAGGAACTTGATGAATGAGCAGGTGAGGCCTATGTCCAATATAGGAGTTGAAAAGGGATCAACTACAGTTCAGGCTAATAATCCTGCATGACCCTGCTATATTCTGGCACGATGGTACCATATTCCCCAGGGC